CTGATTCCATTGTTTTTCTAGCTTTTCCAGATTAAAAACCACATGTACATGTATTAATTCTTGTGCAGTTTTCAACCCCATGTTGCATGGCCAATTCAAAGAATGAGAGACCTAAAGATCTCGCTGTATTATGGCAGGAGAGGACATTGTGCAGACAAAGATGTGTCCGCTTTTCGTTGCAGTTGAAATTTATTAAGACATACACTCACAGACCTTATTTTTAACTCGAGTTCTTTCATCTTGACTTCAGGAAGACCACTACAGAAGCACAAACATTTTCATTGCGATATGTTCTGTAATTGTATTACCGGTTTTGATTTTGAATCTCTGAGAACACATGTACATGTGTTGTAAGTGACGTCGAGTGTACACATGTACACTTTTTTTTTTTTTAAAATAGATACGAAATAATTATATGTTGTTGGTATATGTGTCTTGTATGCAGCATCAATGCAAACTAGATGTAAATGTACTGGTTATGTGGCCAATAGCCTAATACATGTATTGGAGATATCTTTACCACTGAACTGCTCAAATCTGTGCTCCGCTGTACAGTGTTATTTATCACCCGTTAAGGGTTCAGAAACTAGTTTAATGTATTTCAAACATGTTAACTTTTATTCAGACACGTCAAAGTTTGGAAACGCATTTCAAGTATTTCTCCAAAGCTGACATTAGACAGTCTGCTGTGTAAGAATGTTCAATAAAAACTGTGATCTGCCATTTGAATGACAAAACTTTGACTGTACTGGAAATGTGTGTATTTTGATTGTATGTTTTCAACAGATGCGTGTTTTCTCTACTGTCCACTCAACATTCAATTTCATACTCATACAATAATTTGTGTTCATGAGGAAGTGACAGTTTTTGTTGATTTGGGGTCACCAGCCCTTATCACCATGCCATATTCCCTGTAGCACAGATTCCCTGATACAGTTGATTTTGTGATGATTAATGCAAAGCTGCAGTGTGTATGAATGCAGCCCTACATGTACGTGGCAGCCAATCAAAGCACTTGGTCACACATGGTACCAGCTAATACAGATGGACAGGCAGGCTGCCAGCCACTCACTGGTCTTAAAAGTCTCTCTTTCAATGGATCACCAGCACTGCTTGCTTCTCAGTCACTTCTAGTGCCATAGGGTACATTTCCTCAATTAAATCCATGTGGTGCGAGTCATTGTGGAAAGTCACTTACATGATTTGCATACCAAGCAGTTTGTTGCTTTGTGTGTCAACATTTTGACATGCCACTGCATTCTGCTTTCTGTCACAACAATCTGCTGCAATTTCTCTGTGTAAACAGACAAAGATTCAACAAGAACAGAAAACAAACTAAAAGACTGAAGTAACCACTAACAAGAAGTCCTTAAATAATAAATATTTATTTATATCAATGAAGTTGCAGCCACAGGAAGGAAGTAAATTTTTTGTACAAAAATACTTTGAAAAAAAAAACCATGACAGAAAAATCTCTTCATATTTACAATTAGTTTTAAGTTGCTCTACAATAATTGAGGAAAAATTTAACAGCACACAAAACAAAAAGTCTGGAATTACCGTTAAGGGTTTTTTTAGTGGGTTTGCCCATCTACATGTATAGATATAAACCCCAAATATCAAAAGATGTATAGCATGAAGAAGATGAAGGCCATGGGCCTAAATTCCAACCCAAACAGGCAAAATACACAAACTTATTCATTACATATGGCTTATTTCATGTAGCTGTGATGAAAGATGGAAAATACTTGAGGAATTCAGGAGCAAAATTACCTGAAGCATGATCAAATTTTGATAGGAAAGTTCTTTAATTAGTATTGTTTTTCAAGAGATTTCACAACCTGTTCAATACAACATCTGCTGAGGACAAAAAAAATATCAAAGTCTGAATATACTTTCCCAAATGAACAAGAACAACTTGTGTGATTTTCCCCAAATAAATACATGGTCGTTCAATGACAAGTTTTCTGAAATTGCATATGTAAATAGTTTGCATACACATTTTAATGGGAATATTTGATGTACATGCTGACTGGTCTAGTCACAGACTCTGTTTGCCTTTACCAAACTGTGCACAGCTGCTTGATAATTAAGGAAGTCAACATTTTGTCAATTTACATGTAGATCATGTTGGGTCTTGTGTGAGCCTTCACTTCATGTTGATACTGTTGATTTGAATAATTCACTAACAAAACAATATCATTTTAAACATAAACCACACTCAAAATTACAAGAACTTGTCCACAACACAAACTTTGAGGATCCAAAACCACAAAATCCAGAAAACCAACAAAGCCATATAATATTAACAAATCCATTGAATGGAACAAGTATATATAAATTGACTGAATACGTATATATCACCGTCACACTTCCACTTCAGAGAGAAAACGTACATGTAGGTTATAAAATAAGTTTTCAAAGTTGCCCTTGGACAACAAATTATTGCTCAAAACCAAAACAGTGATTCAATCTTCGGAATCACATAAAATATGGAAACAACACAAAACTCAAACTGCAGGTAAACAAACAGGCAAACAAATAGATCAATGCAGATTCAAAGGAATAATATACATGGACAGAATAACGACTGCACGGATGGCCATCTATGCTGATCCAACAATAAAATTCATCTTGACTTCAATTCAAAACAACACAACAAAAAACATCTCTGTACAGAAATTAAATATCTTTAAGGGATGCCTTCTAAGTTTACAAATACACAACACAGCACAGGGTTGTTACTTTTCCAACATCTACCCGTTTTTTTTTTTCAAATTATGTACACCTGAATTCTGTTCAAAATGAACAACTCAGTCCAACTAGATCCAGTGTAATTACAATTTACAATGGCAAAGTACTGACAGTTTCCTAGATCTGTTAAGAAAAGGGATAAAGAACTAATATTGCCAGGAACAACTTACACAGGAAATACAGGGTTTTGGGAATTTAAAAATAAGTCTTTGTCCTTTTTCATAAATAATCGAACATGGCATAAATAATCACATCTTGGCTTGATAGGTTGAACTGATAACAAAAGCAGCAAATTTTCTTTCAAAGTGCAAAATTGTTTGCATGATTAATTGACTTAAAGGCACAGTTACAGTGGACGGAGCACTTTTCTTATTGGCAGCTGTACTTTTGCTTGACTTCAACTCCACGGCGAAGTTTCAAAAAGACTAACGGTAAAACCATAAAAATGAAAATGAAGTAACTAATATCTGCAACACGTATGTAAAAAAGCACTTTTTATCGTGAAATGGAACAAGAATGAGGCAGTCCTTGAATCGGGGGGGGGGGAAAGACATCTTTTCATGGTGTTTCATTTACTGTTTAGCACACTTCGTTTGTGTGTTAAAATCAATCTAAGGCCACTGGATGGTTTGCTTCACTAATTAGCTAAATTCAATTTCGGGTGTTCAAAAATGAACAATCTTCTTGTTGCTGTGCAACTACATGTATTCAGCCTCAGCACTGCTTTGAAAGCTTCCCACTCCAATGGTGCAAAATATCAACAAAGTTACAAGAAATTTCCCTCATGTCTACAACTATCAGGAAATTTGAGCGTGCCTGATTTGTGTACTTGAAATAGGAAAAGACCCAAATAAAAAAAATTCCTATAATGTGTTATAAGTACTGCCGCATTTTTAAGGTAGTTTCTCTGACAAAATATAACCAACACTCAACTAAAACATCCACGTGAAACAATCTGCTGTAAGTGGTTGGGCAGTGCAAAGTTCTGCCTCTACAAGTCAGCTAAGTCATGTTTTGAGAAAAACTGTCAATGTGTTTCTAAGGTCTCCATAGAAACAGCAGCTGGGCACAGGTCAGGGGGTAATGAGAGGGCTCAAACAACCCTCCTCCAAGTTGACTTGGGAGTTCACAACACAAGTGAAATAAAAAATGCTGGTTCAGGAATATTACACTTGGTTCTGACTGGCATACTACAGCAGTGGCCTAACTGGGGTACAATTGCAGGGGGCACTTTGGGGGCCTTCAATTTCAAGAGGAGGTACTTACATGTATTTGTTTAGTCACACTTAAAAAAAAACTGGCCAAGGCGGACCATCAACAGATTTTTCCTGCTATAATTGGGGGGGGGGGGCAAAGGCCTTCTCCAGGGGATCTGTGCCCCCATGCCACTCTATCAGGGTCATGCCAAACCAAGTGGAATTGAAAGCAACTTGATCGAATGGATTTTGGTTCTAGACAGGCACTACATACATAATTCAAGCTGCGTGCACCACTGGAAATTTAAAAACAATCAAATACACACACACAACTTGCTTCTTGTTGCATCGTTTTTTGCTACAACTTTTGTGAATATATGGATATGAGATTAATTTCAAAGCTGTCTAGCAAAACTGATGTCATATTGATGAAGCAATACTTACATTGAGCATAATTTTTTTTCAAACATATGGGCATTAAATAGGCATGAAGCTGGCAAGAAAACCAGCCACGTTGATGAAACAATACATGTATTATGGATAATAAATAAGCACTGATACCAGCAAGCAAAAACTAAGGCTCCATGAATGAGACTATGC